CCGCGCCCCAGTTCCTACCACTGTCACCATTGTCACCATTGCCACCAGTGTCACCAGTGCCAGCCCCTGGACTCACCTTCAGGATGGCGATGCAGTGGGAGACCAGACCCCTGCGGAGGGGGAACAGGGTGTGAATCTGGGTGGACCCCCAATGTCCTTGTCCCCCCCAGACCCTTGGGGACATTCCCACCTGCAGACCAGAGCAAGTCCCATCCCTTCTTGGGACCGGCCATGGCTTGGTGACCCCCAAATTCTGACCACCTGCCTCCCACGATAGGGGGTTGGCACTGCATGGGGGTCCCCAGCAGTGGTGGGGGGGACATGGGGCACACCGGGGGTGGGACACAGGCTTACGAGGCGTCCTCGACCCAGTCCTCGTTCTCCAGGATGGCCTCGATGTGCGGGTTGGTGATGACCACGTCGTCCAGCTCCAGCTCCGAGGGCTCCGACGGCGTCTCCGTGGTCCCCATCAGGTCCACAATGGGTCTGTGTGGACACGGGGACATCCCTGGGGACAGGGCCACCTCCTTGGGCTCCCCACCACCCTGATGATGCTGGACACGTCCCCAGCATCACCCTCAGCCCACAGCGTTTGGGGTCCCTCCCTGCTCCTCATGCCCCGGTGAGGACGGACACGATGCCACCCCCATGGGGACACTCACTTGGTGTCGTAGTGGTGCCGCAGGTCCTTGGGGTGGCAGTACCGCTGCCGGCACACCACCAAAAACGAAGGTGGCCAGGAAGAGGGTGGCCAGCACCCCGATGGCCACGATGGCGACCGTCTCCATGGCTGCTCCCCACCGAGGGGGGGTGGCTCAGGCGTCCGGTGCCATCTCGGCACGACGGGGTCTGCAATGATGGGGGGGGGACAGGGACAGGTCAGGATCCCTGTGGATGCTGTCCCACACCCTCCCTGCACCCCAAAACACCACCTGGTGTCACCCACTCATGGCCCCCTGCCCCATGGGGTCCTTCTGGGGAGATTGGGGGTGAGAGGCGATGCTGGGTGTGGGGTGCAGCAGGATTTGGCCACGGCACATGGGGGGCTGCCCCCTACCCTGCACCACGGCCATGGTGACACAGGCTGGGGTCAGGAGGTCTGGGCCATATGGGGCTATGGGGACCCCCAGGACTTCATCCCTATGGGCTGTGGGGACCCCCCAGGACCTGGTCCCTGTGGGGACCCCTAAAACTTGATCCCTATGGGATGTGGGGACCCCCAGAGCCTGATCCCTATGGGCTGTGGGGACCCCCAGACCCTGGTCATTATGGGGCAGTAGGGATCACCCAAGCCCAGATCCTATGGGGACCCCCACAGCCAGTCTCTATGGGGCTATGGGGACCCCAAGAATCTGACCCCTATGGGGACTCCCAGAGCCTTGTCCTTATGGGACTGCAAGGACCCCCAGACCCTGATCCCTGTCGGTTGTGGGGACCCTCAGAACCCAGTCCCTATGGGGCTATAGGGACACCAGACCTTGGACCCCTATGGGCTATAGGGACCCCCAGACCCTGGTCACTATGGGGCTGTGGGGACCCCCAGATCCTGGTCACTATGGGGCTGTGGGGACCCCCAGATCCTGGTCACTATGGGGCTGTGGGGACCCCCAGTCCCTGGTCACTATGGTTTGTGAAGACCCCCAGATCCTGGTCTCTATGGGGTAGAGGGACCCCCCAAGCCATCCCCAACACAGCAGCAGTGCCCCTGTCCCCAGGAGGCACAGGACACCCGGCCACGCCAGGCCCAGGGGACACCAGAGCCACCTGGGACCCC